TCCTTGTTATGAAGGTCCTTATATTCTGTCAAAGGAAACCAAATATATACATAAAAGCAAATAGAAAATATATACAAAATACATGCAAAGTAATTTTTGTGGGGACACTTGCATCATGTGTGTAGCAACAGAATCAAAAAAGACCTTTTTAGAAAGTTACAGATGAGCTGAGCTTTGAAGGAAGCTAGGGATTCTAAGAGGTAGAGGTGAGGAAGTAATAGATATTAAGCATTGGGTACTGCCTGGGTGAAGGAATGACAGTGGGGGAGATGGAATGTCATCCATGGGTTTGGTATATAGTATAGAATATATGAAAAAGCAATGTGAAATTAGTTGAGAAAGAGAGAGAGAGAAAGAGAGAGAGAGAGAGAGAGAGAGAGAGAGAGAGAGAGAGAGAGAGAGAGAGAGAAGAGAGAAGAGTGAGCAAGCATTGTAATCCCATTCAACAATCATCAAAGGTCTACCATATCTAACTTTAAAAAAAATTCTATTCAGGTCCTTAATTGTTTTCTTATTTACTTTTTGATTCAATTTGTCTGGATCTGAAAGGAGTAAATTGAGGTCCCACCTATTATAATTTTATTGTCTATTTCATCCTCTAGTTTAGCTTTAACTTTATTTAGATACGGTGCCATGTGGTACATATATTAAGTATTTAAATTAATTCATCACTTCTTAGCATAATGTACACTTTTTTTTAGCATAATGTAGTTTTCTGGTTTATTTCAAACAAGCCTATTTTTGGTGTTGTCTTGTCTGACAGCTTAATACCATTGCTTTTTTAGTTAAGCTAAGTTATAGATTTTTCTTCAGCCCCTTATTTTTTTTATGTGCATCTCCACTTAAAGTTAGTTTCTTGTAAATAATATATTGTTGGGTTCTACCTTCTAATCTATTCCTCTATCCTTTTCTTTTTTATGGTTGAATTCATTCCAGTCACATTCACAGTTTTGATCATTAGTTGTGTATTTCCCTTCATCCTGCTCTGTTATCCTTTTCTTCTCTTTGTTTCTCACTCCCTCTTTACAAAGAAAATAGTGGTTCTCAAGGTTCAACATCAGTGCTCTGTGCTTGATGCAGTCTACTTCTGCCCCATTGCACCTCTTCTCTTTCCCTTGCCTAGACGCCAGTCCCAAATTTCTTTTCTCCTTTTCTTTTAACTTTTTCCTTAAAGTTTCCTCCTGCCCACGTTTCATTGGAGGTTTTTTTTTTGGGAGGTAACCAGGGTATTTTTTCTGTTTTCATATTTCCTACTGGATTTCTTGAAATATGATGTCCAGTTTTTTTGGTCATGGCTTTGAGATAGTCCAGTGATTCTTATATGATCTCTCCATCTATATTCCAGGTTGATTTTTTTTAGATGTGATACCTTATATTTTTCTTCTATTTTTTCAGTATTTTGTCTCTTTTCAGTATTGTTTTCTCATAGTATTTCACTTTTATTTCTTCTGGTCTAATTTTTAAAGAGCCTGCTGTGGGTAAGGTTTTATACCTGTTTTGCTAAGCTTTAATTCTCCTTCTAAATCTTTTCTCTGTAGCTCTCATTTATTTTTCCACTTCTTTCCACTAAGCATTTCATTCATTTACAAAATCATTTTAAGTCTTTAAAAAAAAATCCCCAACAACTTTTCCTTCATTTCTTCTAGGAATTCTAGCTGATCTTATGGACAAGCTATGCTTTCAGCACACCCAGAGTGGTCTAATTCAGAATGAAATCTGATCACTGCCCTCTTGTTAGGGGCTTTGCAAATCCTGGCCTCAGTTAACAATATAACTGTGGGCTTGCCCCTGGTTGGAGCTCCAGTAGACTGCTGCTGCACTCAGCCACTGTAAGCTAGCTGGAGAGTTATATAGGGTTAGAGCAACAGAACTGTAGACTAATCTCTGTTCTGAGTTCTCTGGGCAGGTTGTTCAGCTATGGGATGAGAGTTAGATTTGAGACCCTGACTCCATAGTTGGAGTCATAACCACTGAGATAATGCTCAGTTCCTGATTCTTTCCTAGTATAAAGCCTCAGGTCTGGAACCTCTTTGTCCTCATCCACTATTCTTCTTCATTCCACACTGATTTTGTGACCTAGTTTTAGGGTATGAATTAGAGAGTTGCCAGGTGAAACCTCTTCTTATTCATACTCTATATCATACCCATCTATGCTTGTTTTATAATCCCTCCAGTCCCCTTTTCAGAGTGTTGCCATAGTGGAAGGCTCCTTATGGGTCTCTCTTAGCTAGGCTCTGTCCCTAGTATCTACAGATCTATCCCTGTCTCCTTATGTATATCAGCTGGAAAAGTGACAGTCATTTTCCTTGAATTTTTTTATTAGGACTCTGGTGTTTTTTAGGACTTTATTGGAGGTAGTTGTGGGGTGAGAAAGGGAGTTAGAGAGTATGTTGTTTCTTCCTCTGCCATCTTGGGTGGTCTTCATTAATTTTAGACAAATAACATTTCTTTTTTTTTATGTAGAAAAACTTATTCTGGTTCACAATTTAGTAGTCGAGTAATGAATCACATTAAAGTCTACTGACCCCAGTAATCTACCTACTACATTACTCAAAGGACAAAATTTTTAAGTATAGGTATAACTTCATTTGTTCTGGAGAGTGGTCAACAATCTCTTCAGTGCTGAATACCAGAAACCAAGGTGAGCAATCTGTAGTTGCTACTCTTTGGCCTGAAAAATAAGGCAAAAAAAACCTTAAAAAGCAGAAAAAAGGAGTAGGAGAATATAGGGGGAAGAAAAGAGGAGTATGATATGATTTCCTTATCTCCTTTTACTCTGTCAATAATAGTCAATAAATCAGTCAATAAACATTTATTAAGTACTTGTTATGTGCAAGACATTGTGATAAGCGCTGAGGATACAAAGAAAGGTAACAACAGCACTTGAGCTCAAGGAACTCATGATCTAATGGGGGAAGCTGAAAAGTGGGAGTTGGGAGGGGAGGGAGAGAGGTAATTCAGTTCAGGGGCGTGATGAATTTTTGTGATCTTGCAGTAAGCTGAATTTCTGGAGATTAAGTCCAGAGGAGCAACCAGGTGGGAAATTATGAGGTATCTGCCTTGGGCCCCCCTGCCTAAATGTAGGATCTGGGGGGAACTCTCCAATATCTATTACTCATCATATTCCTTCCCCTGGGAAGGCTTTCTCTTCTCCATGTATTGCAGAAGTATGATCAAAAAAGAGAGCTAGTGGGAAGGAATGATATCTTTCTTTAACCATTTTAAATTTTGTCAGATTTGTAGGAAGAAATCTGAGTTTTTAGTCATCTCAGAAGGCAGAATTGGAACCAGTGGATGGAAGTTACAGGAAAGGTTATTTGGGTGAATATAAAGATTCTTTGTACTTATGCCATATTTTGCTTATCCCAGTATGATTAACATCAGAGGTATTAACTTTTGGCCTGTGGGCTGCTTTCTGTCCACAAAACTCCCTGGGTGCAGCCCTAACCAGATTAAAATGTAATTGGTAAATGTCTAACAAAATACATAAAAGTACAATATAGCATAGATAATATTGATTTGTGGTGTTCCCAGTCAATGTGTGACTTGCAGGAATCCTGTTTCTATTTGATACCACTGGCTTGCATAAACATAATTTCTTGGAAAATGTCATTGTACTTCAAATAATTAGTCATTAATTTTGCTTGATGACTTCTCCTGTTGGCTCTCATTGGCTCTCATCTCTTCTGTGGCGTAGTGTAACAGTATCAGGAAGCTTAAATATATACTACCCATTTTTTTCTTCCTTAAAGTTATAGTAAGTTTATACTTTCTCTGTTTTGTTTGGTCATTTTTGTCGAGTCCAACTCTTCGTGACCTCAATCTCTCTTTTAGAGTTGTATTTTTATGGAAGTCCACAAGAAATTCACCATATAGTAGAGGATTCAGTTCTTGTAAGGAATCAGTATTCTGCCATATATTTACTCATTTAAAGTTTTTTTTTCTATGTCTCTTAACTTCTTCCCTCCCCTACCCCTTCTAATTTTGAAAATTTTGTAGATTACTTATAGGTAATTGTTTCCATTGGGGGGAAAAAGCCTAATCTTATTTCTGAGAAACATTATATTTTAACTATATGAACTGGTAGGAATTTGCAGGTTATTTTCATAGTGTTTTCTGTAACTTCTATTAAAATAATTATATGAAGTTTTTTTGTTTCCATCTATTCCTTTTTTCTAAAGTTTATGAATGATTCATGTAAGCTACATCTTTATGTAGGATAGATAGCATAAAGAATGTTAATTGAGTTGATGGTTGAACTGTTCTGTGTGTACTATAGTTTTAATTTCTTTGATAACACATGGTTTCTTAGGTTTTAGTTCAGGGGTGTTCATTCTCTTTGAATTATTCCTAAAACCACATTATTTAGGAAATATTCAACTAGAGTTCTTAGTTGAACTGCATGAAAATTTGAAAGTGTGTAAAATGCTTCATGTTGTTACTTTGATGGCTATATAGGCAGTATTGGGAAGATTTGATTTGTAATCATGGGCATATCATTGACATTATTATTCTAAATATCTAAGATTTTTGGGGGGCATGATAACATACTAAGACTGTTATCTTCATTGAGACAACTAGGTCTTGTAGTTGATAGAGCACTGAACTGGGAGTCAGAAAGACATGAGATTGAATGCTGCCTCAGATCTTTGCTAATCAGGCAAATAATTTAATCTCTCTCAGCCTCAGTATTCTCTTCTTAAAATGTGTATATAATACTAATCTTAAAGGTCTGAGGATAAAACCAAATCAAATTTCATATTTCTATACATACATATGCTCATATATGTGTGTATACACTTGTGTATACATATATACTTGTGACATGTGTAAGTATGTGCATATATATGAAATTTTGTAAAACTCAAAGTCCAATATAAATGTTAGCTGTCATTACTGTTTACAGTTTTCATTAGTGAAGAGAATGCTAACTTAAATTCTTGACTACTGAAATATTTTTCATATGGCATTAAGACTAGCATATTTCTTTGTCCTTATAGAATATGCTGAATTCTTACACTGCAAAGGAAGGAAGTTCACAGATTTTGATGAAGTTCGTCAAGAGATTGAAGCAGAAACAGATCGAGTGACAGGAATGAATAAAGGCATTTCATCTATACCTATTAATTTACGAGTCTATTCCCCACATGGTAAGTAAATCATTCATCTTAAAATTTTTCTCAATAAAAATTGTTTCAGCATCATTTAGTGTAATGGTTCTTGTACCTATAATATGTACTTTAAAATCCATGAAGAGTGGGGTCCCTTTCTTGTGATGTACTTTGCCTCACAGATATGGTTATATAAAATCAATGGTATGTGTTCATGGGGAAAAAAAAACCCTAATGGTTTTTCATCTACCTTTTAACTCCTTAGTTGGCTAAGACATTTTCTTTCTTTTCAAATAAAATTCTTTTGCGTTCCATAGCATTTAGGGTTTCTTATAAAAATGTCATATTCCCTAAAACCTAGCTAATAGCTCCTTCCACCCCCAGTGGATATCTATACCTGAACTGATTAAGACACATTTTTAAAATTCTCTGGGTTTATCTTGAACTTTTGAAATCCAGTTCATGCATTTACTGCGTACTTCAGTAATTCTGTACTGACAAAAATCTATAGTGTTTGTTGAATTCTCTGACCGAGTCTGCCATTACTGGATTTTCTTTATACTTCTATGCATCTCTATGTTGTATTCCTGATACAGCAGCCATCATAATCATCCACGTTATCAATATAAACTCATAAATTAAGATTTTCCTCCACCTGTGTGAAATTTATTGCCCTGTTGGAAATAATCTATACTCAGAACTAAGTTGTCAGTGCTGCTCACTTTTATTGTCTCTAATTCTCTTTCTAGTCACCTTTATTGCTTTACCAACTCTGCTACATGATTGACATGGTACTCAATTATAATTTCTCAGTAATGCTTGCCATATGTGCCAAATTGTGTTATATATACACAGAATGGTAACCGATTTGGGTAGAAGTCAAATCATCACTCACTCAGAAGTTGTTTTTCTTTCCCCAAATGTAAGCTTTATGACTCTCGTATGTTCACCTGAAGACACTATGAATGCTTGAAACAGCTTTCCATTTGACTAATTAGCTAAACATGCTACAAATAACATATGGTGTTTGGGATGAGAAACACAAGCCTTAGTCTGAGTGTTTTCACACAATATGGATTGATATTACATGGCAGATACCTTATGTATATATTGAGTGTTTTAATTATAATCCCTTCCCCCACCCATTTTGACTCTGCTAGTCCTGAGAGAAAGCTGTTAGGCAAGCAAATAAGTACCTTTCAGATTGTGTTAAAAATTGTTTTGGCATAACAATTATGGATTATTCACTTATTTATGTTTAACAGTGCTGTTCAGAAAGGAGCACTTTATATAATTGAGGCCATTTTGACTTTTTCACTAAGGCATCAACTGACTTTATATGATCAATTTCCTTTGGATATAGAGCATATAAGTAAGACTCTTTTTTTCTTGGTCTACAGTGTTAAATCTAACCCTTATTGACCTGCCTGGAATCACTAAAGTGCCAGTAGGGGATCAGCCACAAGATATTGAATATCAGATCAGAGAAATGATTATGCAGTTTATCACTCGAGAAAACTGTCTGATTTTGGCTGTTACACCTGCAAATACAGATCTTGCCAACTCTGATGCCCTGAAATTAGCTAAAGAAGTTGATCCTCAAGGTGAGTGTTTGACTCGTACGGTAAGGGTAAGTCAGCTATCAAATTTCAAGCATATGAGCCTATATAAAGATGATTCAATTCGAATGGCTTTTCTTTGTTAATAATGAGATAATTTAGACAATATGATTGTTAATGAAAATATGTTTGATAATTGGCATTTCAGAGGGCAAGAGGAAAATTAAACAATTAAGATAAAATCCTGTTTCATTAATATATCAATCAAGATATTTAAAAGAGAAAAATCTCCAGCCTCAGCTTATAGTCTACTTGTTTCAAGCAGTATTTGATTCAATACTATTCCAACAAAATAATTCAGATGGAGTTCATTGTAAGAAGAACTGATCTATATGTTTTTAATAAAGAATTTTCAGTTCTACCAAATGTAGACTCAAGGGTCACTGAACATTTAGAAAAAGGAAAGTCCCCCCCCCCCCAGCTGCTAGTGCCATCATCTCAAAAATTACCTTGTATTTATTAAGTATATGTTTGTATGTATACATGTTTCCCTGGCTTGGTTGTAAATTCCCAGAGGGTGCCTAGCACATTGTAGAGATTTAATGCATAATTGTTGATTGTGTAACACCAGTTGGTTGTATTCACTGAGATCAAGCGATTTTTCTATTTTGCCTCATTTCTGCATTTTGAAATTTTAGCCAACACCTCTGTGAAAATTTCACTGAATCTTTCTCTTTAGAAGTTATCTTCTCTTTCTTTGACCTTGCACACAGTACATTGCACTTCATATATTAATTACTTTTAATCTGCGTTGTAGTTATGAAATAGTTAATCTATATTACTGCTTAATTATGTACATGTCCTACCCCACTCCTTGATTGCAAACTCCATAAAGGCTGGAACATATCATAATATAATCATCATCTTTCTTTTTCTCCAGTTCTTAGCATAGTGCACATGGTAGACATCTAATCAACAATTTTTTGAATGAATATGTAAATAGAATGAATAAATAAATGAGAGTTATTAGACTATTAGACCATGGAATTACTTTTAATACAATATATCTGGATTTCAACAAGGCACTAAAGTCTCTCATGATATCCTTCCTTCTGTTTAGTTCAGTGTAATGAATACTTATTAATTATCTACTCTTTATACAATGCATTTGGTATTTGTATCAGGGAATTAAGACAGGCAGGAGAGGAGATCAAGATTTTCTCTTCATATATGTCTATATTCGCATACATCCACATATCTTTATACTCTGCTTCAATTAATGTCCCACTAGCCTATTTACTACACATGCTTATGTACATTTTCTTATTCTAATACAAAGAATTTCTTAACAAAAAATACAAAGACATATAAAGATGGTTGTAGCATAAAAGCATCCATTGATTGATGCAGTCATTTCCCAGAAACCATTTGTTTACCTCAAAAATCCTCTACTAAGACATTCTTTTAGATAGAAAAGGCTGATAGACATTTTTCTTCTGCACCTTGAATCAAACTAGTTCAAAAGAAAAAAACAACATAGAAAGATTTCCCTCAAGGCCAGGAGAACAAAAAGAAAGAGCAAACACAGACGTTTTTACATGCATGAATGTTCTTTCTGTTAGGGAGCATCTCCCTAAAGTCGGATGTTTGTACTGTCATTGTGTTGGTAGGAATAAAAGGGAAATCCAGCTCTTTACCAAGCAATACACATATCAATAGATACATATTGACAGCACCATTATTGGTTAGTGGAAAGTTTAAATAATACAAAAGCTATTTTTACTTGCTAAAAAGGTTTTATTCTTAATAAAGAGAAATAACTTTTCTAACTCTACATAGCATAGTGATCTCCCTTCATGTGGAAACTGCAACTTCTCTGGCTGGTTATTTTTCCAGATTGATTGCCTCAGAAGTATGGTGGGAAATAGGAAATGACTGTGAGTTTAGTAAGTAAAAGAAAAAATTTTTACTTTTTATTAACTATGTCAGTGTTTAGGTTAGTTAAAGAAAATAATGTCTGAGGGCATATGTGATTTATTAAATCTACTTCCCCTTGATGCCCTTAAGAAAAGGAATTCCTATCATTTGGAAGGACTTTTATTGTGCCCATGTCTGGTTTTGAAATGTTTTCAAGGGAAAGTTAGTGAAAGAGAACTTTTGAGATCCTTATTAATTTACCATTCCTGATGCTTTTGAGGTACTCATTTAGCATTGTGGTCTCCTCAAAAGTCAGCTAAAATGTAGGGTTCAGACCATGTATATCTGGAATGTAGAGTGGGAGGTTATTTTGGGTGGGCACAGAAAGGTCTATATGTTAGGAGAAAATAGACAAATGGGGAAAGGCAGAAGACTTTATTCATTCATTCATTCATTCATTCATTTATTCATTTATTTATTTATTCATTCATTTGTTTATTTATTTATTTACTTTTCATTCACTCATTTATTTATTTATTTATTTAGGACATGCCAGAGCTGTTCTTTGTCTGGTCCTTGTGACTTTAGATACTTCACCACACAGGGTAAACCTTCCCTACAGGATTTCAAACTTTAAGCCATTTAGGAAAATAAGCAATTTACATAGGTTTTTTTTTTCAATGATGAAACAGGTATTTCCAGTGTTGTAGATTTCCTATCTATGAAGTATATCAGTAGGCAAATGCAAGGACTTGAAAGAGCTCATATTTTATCTTTGTGCACAAATTGGAAGTGTATGGCTAGATTGAAATATAGTTAGGTGGATCTATAACTTCTTAGATAAGTATACCCAAAGAATATTAAGTAATGGATTGATGTCAATCTGGAGGGAGCTCTCTAGTATAATACAACAGGATTGTGTTTTGCATCTTGTACTATTCATAACTTTTATCAATAATTTTGAATGATATAGAAGAAATGATTACTGTATTTACAGAAGACATATCTGGATGGAATAAATAAATGCCAACTGATCTTTATAGTGAAAGTAGGGAATGGAGAAAATATAACTACTGACCTAGATGCCACAGAGTACCACAGATATAACATAGGAGGAATGATAGGGAAACTCAAATGAGTTCAATTTGCCTATGATCCACAGGAAAGAATATTCAGGAAAAGGGTGGTAATAATACTTGTAGCCCCAGATGTCTAAACATGAATGGGTAACAGAGTGATCCTTACATAGATCTAAATTTAAGCTCATGTTCATCATTAACATTTAAGGGATTGTCATTTATGACTAGAATACGGCAATGGTACGGTACATTTTATTCTAAAAGAGCAGATTGGCTAAATCCATGAAACATAGGTGGGCAGTGGACATCACTAAGAATATTTGGGTAAGAATTAATGGAGGAATAAAGGAGCAGTACTGTGGTGCAAGAAAGCATAGCAGACTTTCCATCCAGTAAACATAAACAGACCTCAAAATTGCTATAGAGGCAAGAGTATAGCAGTCATGCATGACAAAAAGTTTGAAAAGTTATTCGAATTCCCACTCTATCTGATCAGCTGAGATAATCTTGACTTGCCTTACTGATCATTTTATCCTTTATAAAGTAGAGGAAATGGTGATGAGGAGGACTGCTAACTTAGACTTGATTCTAGGTTTGACAAAAATTTCTTTTGATTCCTTGCCCCTTTTGTTTTTCCCTCTCCTAGAGCCAAATTGCAAATTTTTATCCTTTCTTTACTTTTAAATCCCACTTTGTGGTCCATCCTCCATAGTTAGTGTTTGTTTTGCTTAGGACTAATCATTCCTTTAATTTACCCTCCCTCATATTATCCCCTCCTTTCTTTCCTGTTCCCTGTTTTACTGTATTTCTGTATCAAGTTGTTAGTATATTCTTCCCTCTTCAGACCAGTTCAGATGAGAAAGTGAAGTTCATCTACTGCCCATCTCCTTTATCCGTTCCTCTTTATTTGTATAGTTTTCTACTTCTACACCTTGAGCATGTGAGATAACTTCATTTACCCTTTTCCATTTCCTGCCTAGGGTATTCTTTTTCCTCTCCTTTTCTTTCTTCTTTTAAGAGCATTAAATCAGTGTTTAGCACAATGTCTGTTACTTAGTAAGCACTTAATAAATTCTTGTTGACTTAATTCTTGGCTGGTCTCCATTGTACCTTTTTATGTTCAATTTGACTATAGAGTTCCATGAATTTAACGATAATCCTTTCAACACCTCACATAGAATATGCATGGTGTTCACTGTAAAAATAGTACCCTGGCTCAAACATCTCAGCACTAAGAATGTTATTATTCTATAAGTAATAAGTTGTCTTTCTTGTCAAAACTAACTCTTTCCCCATGTACAAGATCTTGATCCCACCTCCTTCTAGCTTCTTCAGAAGATGCTGTCACTATTATCCTTATTCTTTTGTTTACTTGTTTGTTTTGCTTTTTTTTTTTGTGAGGCAATCAGGGTTAAGTGACTTGCCCAGGGTCACACAGCTGGTAAGTGTCATGTGTCTGAGGCCAGATTTGAACTCAGGTTCTCCTGACTCCAAGGCCAGCGCTCTCTCTACTGTGCCACCTAGCTGCCCCATCCTTATTCTTTTTCCCACCATTCCCTATATCTATGCTGCCTGCAAACATACCATGTCTCTTATATCTTAAAAAAAAAAAGCAAAAAGAAAAAATCTCACTTGCTCCTGCATACCTACTAGCTATCATCCTAACAGCACACCTCCCTTTGTGGTTAGACTTCTTGGGAAGCTCATTTATAGTTCATACCTTCACTCCATCTCCTCTCATTCTCTTCTAAACCCTCTACAGTTTGAATGACCTCATCATTCAACTGAATGATGACTTATCCATAAAGATATCAGTTATCTCTTAATTGCTAATATAAAAGCATTTTTTCAGTCCTTATTCTTCTTGACTTCTCTGCAACTTTTGATGGCAGCTGTTGATTATCTTCTTTTCCTGAACACTCTCTTCTTTCTAGGTTTCTGTGAAACTGATTTCTCCTGGTTCTTTTCCTATATATTTGTCCACTCCCTGTCAGTTTACTTTGCTGGTTACTTATTGATTTCATGTCCACTAACTAAGACTCTGTACTT